CTCCTCGCCGCGAACTCCGGGCGACCTGGGCCGCGGCCGAGAGCCCCGGGGCGGGGAAGGGCGAGCCGGAGCCCGGCCTCCGCGGGGCCGTCCTGAGGTCGAGGGCGGGCGCCGCGGGGTCGCCCCCGGGCGAGGGAGAAGGGACTCCTGGGGTGTCACCCTGGCGCAGGCCTCGTGGGAGGAGCTCTGATTTTTATGTTTTCAAAACTTCAGAGTATCGTGAAGTAGGTGCACAATTTCTGACCCTAACACGGAGAGGAGGAGCGGGAGCCCTCGGCGTGACTAGCGTCTTGCAGCCTGCCTTGTCTCGCTCTTACGGGGTGCCCAGGGCGGGCCCCACTCCGCTCACATTCGCCTTAGACAATGCAGAGGAGACCCCGAGTGCCCGAAGGATTCCTAGTTGTGATTTCTATGGTTTGCTCAAACCCACCCTGCTGAGGTTAATGGTCCTGCCTCCAGATTTGGGGTCTGTCCAGGTGAAATCTTCACCAGCTGTGGACTCCATGGAAAAATAGGGCAAGATTAGGCAGCTGGAAGGGCAGTAGGTCAAGGTCTGACCCAGCTTTGAGGAGACGCCTGTGGCCCAGCATGGTGGCTCAAGCTTGTAATCCTAGCACTTGTCAGGTTGAGGCAGGATGAGCACATTGAGTTCGAGGTTAGAACTGACTACACAGTGAGTTCAAGGCCAGCTAGACCTGTCACAATACTAGGTAGCACATTTTGCAGAGATGGCATGAAGAGGAATTTTCAAAGCAGCATCGCCTGTGTGGTGGTGGTGTGGTATCTCAAAGCCTGCCTGCCTGGGCCAGCGCTGCTGTATATTAGAACCTCAGTGTGAATGATATTGGGTCACAGAGTCAGTCTTCTATTGGGGCATGGTAGTACACACATGCAGTCTCTGCACTGGGGAGACTGAGGCAGGAGGATTGCCATGAGTTCAAAGCCAGCCTGAACTACATAGCAAGGAAAAAGAAAAGGTAAGTATTTTAGTCCAGGTTGGGGGAGATGGAGAATATTTGAATTGACTCAACCTTTTCAATGCAGGTGATTAGCCTGCAGATCCCCATGGTCTGACCTGCTGCCCCTTCATTGACATGGCCCACCGGGGTGGGGAGAGGGACTTCCAGACTTCGGCTCGACGCATGGGCACCTCCCTGCTCTTCCAGCTGTCAGTGCACGAACGGGAGCTGGACCTGGTTTTCCTGGATCATAGCTATGCCAAGCCATGGAGTGCCCACCCAGATGCCAGTAGCGCCCGCCCCACCCGCATGCTCTTTGTTACTCCCCGGCGGCAGCAGGAGAATACCATGTGAGTCTGGGCTTCTTTCCTGAAGGGTGACCACTATCAGAGCTGGACAGTGATAGACTGTGGGGACAAGGGGAAATTTTCTTGGGGATTTTAGCTAGGGAGCTAGTTTTAATGTTTCATTCAGGTGTGTCTAGGAAGTGGTGCAAGAATATCAGGACTAAATGTGGACATCTGGCTGGGGAGATAGCTCAGCGGTCTAAGCGCCTGCCTGGCAAGCGCAGGGACCTGGGTTCAGTCCCTGGTACCGCATGCCATGCTGGCCCTGGAACCCTGGGTGTGCCTAGAACCCTGGGTAGTCCTCCAAAGCCGGGCACTGTGGCCCAGGCCTGTAATCCCGATACAGGAGGATCACTACAAGTCTGGGCTGCCTAGGGAAACCCTGTACTAAATAAATAAATAAATATGGACATCTGCCCACAAATGGGCAGAAAAGCAAAACATACAGAGGAAATCAGCCTCTTCCACTTCGATAACAAAGAGGATATTGATGAAAGACTAAAAAGTTGACTTGAAAGTACTGTTGCACAGGATTGGACCCTTCACCACTTCAGTGTGGTGTTCCGCTTCACAAGACATTGTCAGTGACAGCTCTTTGATAGTAATGCATTTTTGCTTTCCTGGCATCATACCCAAAGGTTAAGGAGCAAATTCCCAAGCCAGGGGTTAATCTGGGTCTTTCTTGGGTCTAACTAGTATTTTCAGTAGGCCTGTTAACAGAGGAAAGAAGTTTGCTGCCTTATGAATTGACTACCTGAGAGGTGATACAGTTACATAAAATAAAATAAAACTGGCTTGCAATTCTTTAGAGCTTGGGTTTTTTCTTGTATTTCAGGATTTTGTTTGTTTTTTGGTACTGGGAATCTAGCTCCAGACTTTGTGCTTGCCAGGCGGGCGCTGTGCTGCAGAGCTGCATCCCTGACTGTTTTTTGAGACAGATCCTCCCTCTGTAGTCTAGTTTATGACTTTCTTGCCTCAGCCTCCCATGTGCTAGGATCACAGAAGTGTACCACCACGCCATGCCCTTAATTTTAAGCTGTGGGAGAATTGTTTTGTTTTTAATCTGACGTAATGTTTAAGTTTTCCTCAAGTACAGGTTTTAAAGTTTGTGAGGGGGGATAGTTGTTTAGTTTGTACTTTGCTTCAGATCCCCCCATTGAGTTTTAATGAGCTAGGCCATGATTGTTGTAAACACATGTGGTATAGTAGTTTATGCTTCATTTCTCAGTGATGTTAATATTTTGTTGGCTTTTTTGGTTGTATAAAGTACAGGGTCTGTGACTTTAGAGAATAATCTGTTATCATCGTGATGTCTCTGGCCTGAGGTATAACCAACTAAAAGCTTCTTTCAGTAAAATATGAATTATTTTTCCTCTGTGCTATGTGAAGATTCTTGTTGACATTGAAGCTCCTGTGTCCTTATCTCCTGACATTTTCTTAAAGTGAGGTTTTGGTAGACTTAGTTGTCTTGGTGCTGAGAACATTGTTTTCTTGCGTGAGACTTTCTTCATATTCAGGCCCTGAGCGGGGAATTTGGCATATCAGAGGGACTCTTTGGTCGCTGTCGAGCATTAGGGGTGCGAGTAGGGGGAAGGGAGAGGCTGACCGAGGCTCCCTCACCTACAAATTTGATTCTAAAAGTGGCTAGAACTCATTGAAGGATTTTAAGGTAGAGATCCAATTTATATTTTTGGAAAGTTCATTTTTTATTTTATAAAGTAGATAACAGTACGGGGTGGCATTCAGAAGATCATTTAGGCCATTTGCAGAAGCCTGAGGTGATCCAGAAATCCTGATGGCCCAGAGAGGGTGGTAATAGCACACAGAGAGAAAGTGGGTAGCCTCGGGGCGTTCCATAGGCCCAGCTTCCAGGGCCGCCTGGGGGCGACCAGAGGAGAAGCCAGGCTTCAGGGGAAGGCAAAATTAGGGTGGCTCACGTCTTTGGCTTGAGCAGCTGGGTGGTACCAGAGTTGGGAAAGATTGTGGAGGATAGTTTGGGTTGGTGAAATCAAGACGACTGTTTTGGCTGTTTTGAGTCCAAGTGCTAGCCCAGCATCTGACTCAGAAAAGATAATCAGCTTGTTACCCACTGCCAAACCCAGCTACATATTTATTTCACTTCATTTCGTAATGATGTAATTCTTTCAGTTGCTGAGAATGGATGCAGTACAATCATCAAGGTCAGAAATTAATGAGATGTCCTAGGCATGGTAGCACATGCATGTAATCCCAGCATTTGGGAGACTGAGGCAGGTCGATGACTTGGAGTTTGAGGCCAGCCTGGGCTACATAGTTCAAGGCCAGCCTGTACTACAAAATAAGACCATGGCTCAAGGAGAAAACAATTAACATGATGTTTAGCTGGGAAGATGGCTCAGTAGAATAAGCGCTTCCCTGGCAAGTGCAAGGGCCTGAGTTCAATCCCTGGTTCCACAAAAAAAAAAAATAAAATAAAATAAATAAAATTAAAAAATTAAAAAAAAAAAAAACAGGGCTGGTGAGGTGGCTCGGTGGTCTAAAGCACCTACTTGGAACAAGCTAAACCAAGCAAAGCACAGGGACCGCAGTTCGATCCCCCAGCACCACATGCTGGCTAGGCCCGCCCCCTGGTGGGCTGAGCTGGCCACACACACACAAAATAAATAAATAAATAATTTAAAAAAAAAAAACCATTATTGGGGCTGGTGAGATGGCTCAGTGGTCTAAAGCACCTACTTAGAACAAGCTTAGCAAAGCACAGGGACCGCAGTTCAATCCCCCAGCACCACATGCCAGCCAGCCCCCCCTCCCTGGTGGGCTGAGCTGGCCACACACACACACACACACACAAATAAATAAATAAATAAAATTTAAAAAAAAAAAAAAAACATGATGTTTACTAAATGGCCAGTAGGCCAGTTTGTTTGACATAGTATTCAGATGGCCAGGTGGGTTCAGTACGCTGTGCTGTGAGGTGGAGGAAGCACACTGATGCACTAGGGCTTCCTGAACATCATTTTAGAGTGTGAACAATCATGCAGAGATCCACTTACGTTTGTTTCTGTTGTAGGCTCCGCGCAAGGTAAGTTAGACAATGCAGGCGTCTATTCCAGCTGATGTGCGTTGGGCAGGCACAGGCTTTTATAAGCATACCACCAGATGACTTGCTAAAGAAAGGGAAACTTACTTGAATAATGTAAAACTAGACCAGTGCTGTCTGGGAGAACACTCTGCAGTAATAGCAATGTTCTAATCCTATGACCTCCAGTCCGGTACCTGCAGCCATATGTCAGTTATGCCCATGAAATGTGGGTAGTATAACAGAAGAAGTTAAATTAAAATTAAGAAGTTAAGTTAAATTCTATTTGATTTTATTAATTTACATTTATTTTAGTTGTCATATATGACTTTTAGCTTCTTTCTGTGGCAGTGTATTTTGGCAATCAACCATATGTTAATGGAATCTGTGTGTTTATTTATTTATTTTGCAGAACCAGGGATTGAACTCAGGCCCTTGCGCTTGCCAGGCAAGTGCTTATTCTACTGAGCTATCTCCCCGGCCCTGTGTGTGTTTTTTTAAATAACTGTTATTTTTTCTTTTTTGTGTGTGCATTTTTTTATATAGACTCATTTTAAAATATCTTTGTGTTCCTCTACCATATGTCACAGGATAAAGGTAGACATGAGTGATAAAGATTACTTTGGACTAAAATTTTCTTGTGAATGTAATGTGCTTATCTATTAATAAGCTGACTATATTAAAGAGGCATATTTTGGCAGATCATCATTAAATACTTGTCATGTGTGACACATGTGGTCTTTTCCATTTCCTTCTAGTGAATCAGATGTCCCAATAGACGTGGAGACAGTCACATCGACTCCTGTGCCACTCTATGACAATCAGAAGGCTCGCAGTGTGATGAATGAGTGTGAGCGGCATGTCATCTTTGCCAGGACGGATGCTGATGCCCCACCCCCACCTGAGGACTGGGAAGAGCACGTCAGCAGGTAGGCTGCTCCTTAGTACATTACCTTCTGTCATCATCTTCATTGAAACACATTTATCAGGCGCTTATTTCATTTGTAGCCATATATGTCAGAATGTCTTCTGTTCCACATTGTAATTCTCAGCTTACTCTAGCTTTGAGCTCCTTGAGAACAGGACTGCTGTGTCAGCCATCTCAGCTTCATGAGTCTAAGAAGCTGGGCGTACACCGGGCATGTAAGCAGAGACCAGGTGTAGAGGCGAGCACCAGTGGTCTCACCTACTAGGGAAGGAGGGGCAGGAGGATTGCAAGAGCCCAAGAATAGGACTGGGGAGATAGCTCAGCAGCTTAATTGCCTGCTTGGCACGCACGAGGTCCTGAGTTTGATCCCCAGTACCAGAATAAAAGAGCCCAAGGCCAGTTCATGGCCATTCTGGGCATTGTAGAGGCCCCATCTCTTAAAAAAAAAAAAAAAGGTTTGTGGAATAAATGATTTCAATTTGATAGTTATGACTAATTCTTTAGCTTGTGATACAGTATAAGAGCTAGCCAGACTGCAGAAAACATTAAATACGCATCTGCAGCTTCATGGCCTGTGTCTACGGAAAATCAAAATGTTCTGGAGTTACGTGAAAAGCTAACAAATTTTTGACTGGCTTTAACAACTAGATTTGCAGTCTTTTGTTTTGAAGGTACTCTTAATTTTGATTTTCCTAAGATGTCAGGATGGTGTTGTTCCCATGCCTCCTCCTGCCCCCAAGGGACTCGGCACTGCCCCCTAGGTCATTTTTCTGTGTTCATGTCATGAACATTGGTTTCGCTTACTTCATAACATCCTGGCGGAGGTATTTGCATACCACATAATTCACCTCTACAGTGAGTATAACCAGAGTTATACTCATAGTTGTATACTCATATTTGAACACCCATCACCATATGTAGTTGAATGAACATTTTTATCACCCCATAGAGAAACCCTCTGCCTACTAACAAACACTTCGCATTCTTTCCCAACCCTTCCAGTCTGGGAACCACCAGTGTACTTTCTGCCTCTACAGATTTGCCTTTACAGGACATTTTGTGTAGAATCATGCAGAGTGGCCTTTGTGTCTGATTTCTGTCACATAGCAGGATGTTTTCAAGGTTTGTGCCTGCTGTAATATTTCCAGTACTTACTCCCTTTTATTGTCAGATGGCATTTCATTGAATAGATATCCTGCATTTTATTTGTATACTGATCAATTGATGACACTTAGGTTATTTCCACTGGGGCTATTGTGAATAATTCTACTAGGAACATTTGTGCAAAAGTTGTTTCTGTTTTTTGTAGTACCAGAGATTGAACCCAGGGCACTTTGAGTGTGTCAGGCAAGCGTTTTACTCCGGAGCTACATCGCCAGCCCCTCATATATGTTTATTGGGGAGTCTGTGTTTTCACTTTTCTTGGTTGTGTGAAATGGAATTTTTAAGAGTAGAATTGCAGGACCATGTGGTAAGACTATATTTAACTTTTCTTTTCTTTTTTTTTTTTTTTTAATTAGTACGGGGTCTACAGGGTCTCACTACACAGATCGGACTCGTAGGGATCCTTGTGATTTCAGCCTCCCAAGCGCTGGGATTACAGATGTGCACCACCATGCCCAGTCTCAATGCCACGTCAGTGCGCCGTGGGGGTGGGGCTGGCATGGCAGGCCAGGGATTGAACCCCCAGCCCTGCATCTGCTTAAGCAGGCGTTTTAATCCAGTGGGCTATCTGGCCGGCCCTGCTTTGCTTTTTTTTTTTTTTTAAAGAAAGGGTCTTCTTGTGTATCATGCTGGCCTTAAACTCACTGTGTAGCCCAGATTTGCCAGGAACCCATGACAGCCCACCTGCTTCATCCTCCTGAGTTCGATTAAAAGTGTGTGTCACTATACCCAGCTCTTTTTTGTTTGTTTTTTGAGACAGGGTCTTGCCATGTGGTTCAGACTGTCATTGAGTTCACGATGTAGTCCAATTGGACCTCAAACATGTGGCAGTCCTCCTGTCTCAGCCTCCTGAATGCTGGGATTACAGGTGTGTGCCACTACACCAGACTCCATTTAATTTTTGAGACACTGCCAGACTGCTTTCCAAAGTGGCCGTACTGCTTCATCTTCTTGCCAGTGGGATATGAGAATTATAATTTTTCCATCTTCTTGCCAATACCTGTTTTTATTGTTATTATCACCATTCTTCTGGGCATAAAGCAGCATCTCATTGTGGGTTTCAATTTTCATTTTTCCCACAGCTCTCCACCTTCATGTGTTTTGTATGTGGGTAAAGTAGTTATTATTCTTTGCACTAGGAATTATAGTAGGTAGCAGACTTGCCATACTGATGGAGAACTCTTATAGTAATGTAGGAGAGAGCTAGCAAGAAGTGTAGGAAATTTTGAGGCTGTGGCCATGGTTGATGAGCTGATGGAAGTTGGGATAATGGAGCAGGGGTGCCGGTGTGGGCAGAGCAGCGACTGTGGGAGGAGCGACTGTACTGTGGGTGAAGAACGTGGGCAGCTGGTTGGGGTCCTGAGTCAGCGTTAGTATAGGACCCTGAGGTGCCCGCTGGAGCGCCCAGCAGGGGGCAAGTGGCTGTAGCAGCCACCTCCTAGAATGTTGCCAGAGGGCAAGTTAGCACAAAGTTATCCCAGCTACTAGAGTCAGTAATACAGAATACAACAGTGATAGTAACAAAGGAGAGGGCTGGGGAGATGGCTCAGTGGAATAAGAACTTCCCTGGCAAGCGCAAGGGCCTGAGTTCAATCCCCGGTTCCGCTAAAAAAAAATTTAAAAATAATGAAACAAAAAAGGAGATGCTGCTCTTTGTTTTCCAGGGACCAGCCATTGTACCCACAGCTTCACATACATTCCCTTTTTTCTTTCTTTGTTTATTAACATCACTTTTATTTATTTTTTGTTATCTAAAGAGAATTTAGAGGGCCGGCCAAATAGCTCAGTGGATTAAAGCGCCTGCGAGCAGGAGCAGGGGCCAGGCGTTTGATCCCCAGGCCTGCTGTGGGACACTGAGACAGCAATTGAGAGTGGGGGGCACTGAGACAGCAATTGAGAGTGGGCGTGGTGGCTTGTGCCTGTAATTCCAGCTCTTGGGAGGCTGTAACAGGCGGATCACTACGAGTCCCATCTAGTAGTGAGACCCTGAACACCTTGTAGACCCTTCCCTAAAATACATAAATAAATAAAAGAAAAAGAAAAAGAGAACACAAAATTATAAAAAAAAAAAAAAAAAAAAAAAAAAACAAAGGAGTGATCTAGAACTTCACCAGCATTCCCTTGTTTAATCCTGCAGTGGTCCTTGGAGATACAGCCATCCTCTATCTCTGCTTTACATGATGAAGAAATAGGCCAGGGCCTAAAGAAGCCTTGTTAGGAAGCCATGGAGAAAGAGTTTGTTCAAACCAAGCTGTCTGACGCGAGGCCCTGTGTTCTTGAGTGCTGTACCCTCTATAGTGAGGACAGTAGAAAGGAGGAAGGCCAGTTTTCTGGTAGTTGGACAAGAGGAGGCTTTGGTGGCTGTGTCCCTCTGTGGGGTTGCCTCTTCCTTCCTGCCTGCCTGCCTACAATTTTACAGTGGGTGGCAGAACTCCAGGGCATTTTTTGTCAGTTCACCCATGCGATAATTTACAAGGTTTTAAGCCCTTAGAGAGGGCTTACATGCTTAATGCAGAGGAACAGCAGTCCCTTTCCAAGGAGAGGGACAGCTACAGAGCACAGTACGGTGGGGCCACCTGGCCAAGTGTGTGGTTCTCTGTAAAGTCAAGAAGTGTAGCGCGGTGCCTGTGGCCCGCCCAGCTCCAGGCAAGCGCTGTCCCACCTGCAGAGGAGCACTACAGACTCTTAGCTCCTGTTCATCTTTACACTGCCTCCACGGACCTCCAGCCTTCTGTTAAGATGTTACCACAGATTGTTAGGATTCGCTTATTCTGCAGTAAACTGTTATTTTAGATGATTTGTTTTTAGTGTCTGATGAGCTTTTGGAGGTGCTCTTCTCTCAGCAGCAGCAGGCTCAGAGACGGCACTTCACTGTCACACACCCTAACTCCATTGCTTCGCGGTCCTCATTAGCTTCAGCTTCAGAGCTCACCATTTTCTGACTCTGCCCGAGCCTGTGGCCTGTGCAGTTTGCAGTGCCCTCCTCTCTGATTATAATCATCTGGTTGCTGTTCTCTGCCTTCACTTGATTGTGAAATTGCTGCTGCTTTTTTTCCTGTATAAAGTCATGTAAAATTACAGCTTCCCACATGGAGAACTCCAGGAACTATGGCCAGTGTGCTGGAACTCCAGATTTTTGTTTCCAGAGATTGCAGTGATTGTTTTTTATCTGTGGAGTCAGAAGCTTAATTTTTTCATTAGGACTCTTTTTTCATGTAGAATTTTTGGTGGAAACTGTCTTCAGGTAATCGTGTTTACTGTATAGAAAATGATACTGCTCCTATCTGACTCTGGCTTTTCCTAGTAGTAGCTTCTGTTTTGTGAAGTGATTTAAATCTTTTAAAAGGTTTTTTTGCTTCATGTATTATCTAGATCAGTGGTTTTCAAGCACCCAGTCTGGCTCATTGCTTGCAGGCTTTCTTTGGGAGGGTGGGTGGGTTCCAGGAATCACTCAGGACCTCATACTTTCCAGGCAGGTGCTACACCACTTGAGCTAAATCCCTAGTCCCCATTGCTTGTCTTGTATGGCCCGTGAACCATGAGTGGGTTTTATGCTTTTAAATGGTTGAAAAAAAAGGACAATAGCATTTAATCTTGAAATTTAAGAAATTTAATGTTGTTTTGTTTCGAGACAGCCTCTGTATATCCTAGGCTGACTCAAAATCAAAATCTTTCTGCCTCAGCCACCTGAGTACTGGAATTACAAGTATAAGGTATTGTCCCCAGCCAAATTCAAATTTTGGTGTCCATAATAGCACTTGCTAGATATTTCCCTAGACTGCTTTTGCGCTACAGCCAGAGACTTAAACAGTTGTAGCAGAGACTCCATGGTCCACA